GTGTGTGTGTGTGGGTGGGTGGGTGTATGTGTGTAAGTAATGATTAATACCGGGACAATAGAAGTGTGCCTGGTCAGTTGTTATCAGCTCACTGGAGACTCACAGGCCTTTCCTTTTTTAACCTTCTTTCAGCGTGAAAAGAAAGAAGAAAAGAATGGAAAAGGTCCCTGTATCTAAGACACCCCGGCTGTCTGACATCTTCAAATCTTTTTAAATGAAACTTTAACCTATAGAGCGAGAAAAACATGTAAAGATCTTTTGTTGTTTCTTCAAACTTGGGTTTGAAGTGTCATCATGTGACCGACATTTTAAAATCTTTTCAAAACTGAAACACACACACATTTTATATATATATATATATATATATATTTCTGTATATTGGAATTGGATAAAGCTAACGTGTGTCATATTCTCTCCTGACAGGCTGTCTTTCCAACCTCCCGCCGAACGCCAAGAAGATCTCCAACTCCTACGAGGAGCGCCGTAAGCAGGCCACCGCCATCGTGCTGCTGGGCGTCATCGGGGCCGAGTTCGGGGCAGAAATCGAGCCGCCCAAGGGCTCGGCGCGAGCTCGAACCGGCGGCCAGGTGCCCGAAGGCTTCGGGCCCACCAGCGGAGGGTCGTCCAACTACTCACTGGCACGCCACACCTGTGAGTACAGAGCACAGGACTCAGTCTGGACAGAAATGAGTGGAAATTAGTTCACGCCGGGATGAGTAAACCTGATGTTACACGGAGAAATGTTCCCAGGAATGTGGGAGTGAGAGTCAAATCGGACCAATTTTAGTTGATGGAGGATTCTAATAGAAATATTTCGAAATTTCTGTTTGTTCCTGACAGAAACGGTCACCTTCCCCCTTTGGGTTCCTACCGTCTGACTCTTTCTGAAAGAGTCACGCAGGGCAGGATGTTCTGTAAGAACCCCCCATGTGTCCTTTGTGTCGCAGCATCATTGTGGTATAGCAGCAAACACGGTATTAAGCCGTGGACTCACACACACTTGAAAGCTAACTTGAAAGCTTATTTAGCATGCTCATGCATTGCTGCATACGGAGCTCGATGTGCCTCATGGCGCCGCCGGTTGTTTTAAAAAAGGCTCAGCGGCTGCTATTTTCTTGATCCAAAGCATCTAGTCCCCACCCCCCAAACTCCCAACTCCGCAAAGTTGAAACTTCAGTGCTGGATTAGAGGTGAGGAGAGAGCAGAGATTGATTTTTACCCACCAAGCTTGACACCTTAAGGAGCTTGGCACGGATTTCAACACACACACACACACACTGAGCCCAGCCTCTGCAGTGCCGCGCCCGCAGCGCTGGACCTTGGTGGGCATCAAACCTGCACTAAGCAGGGTTACTCTTCCGTCCCACTGCTCCCCGGCTCTGATTGGTTGCCTCTGGGGGCAGCCACCCAGCGACAGAACCTGTGCTCCCGCTGATAGGCCGTGGAGCGTGATGCCTCCGAGCCTGACCGGCACGCAGCGGCCGGCTCACCTGTGTGAACCCGCCACAAACACACACACACTCCACAAACTCTAAGCCCACGCCAGCAAATGAGAACAAGTCCAGATTTAATTGATTCCCCCGAGCTCCGGCCCAGCGGCCGTCTCTGGACGTCAAGGTGCCCGTGGCAACATTTCTTGAGACATCCCAGAGGGCAGAGATTTTTCTTATCTTTTCTAAATGGCAATCACAGCATTGTTTTACCACTTCTATAGTCACCCTATGGGCAAATTCAAAATGTTTGACATGATTTGGCATCCCAGAAATCAGAAAAAGTTAGGAAAGTTGTTAGAAAAACTGAGAAATATGTAAACAAAGCATCAGTTATTTTATTAATTTGTATTTTTTCTTAAACAGTAGACAGTCTTATTGTGCATTTCAGGCCTGTGAGACATTTCAAACCATTTTGGGGCTGTAAGGTGTCTCAACGTTTCTCTTAACCATCAAAAATGTCAAATGTCCAGTTATCAGATGTTATTTTCATCCCATTTTAAAGTTCTCAACCATACTGGGTTGTTCCCTTTTTCTAACTCTTTGGCGTATTCCACTAGAAGAGCACCTGCCCAGCTCGGCTTGTCTTTAGCGTGTCCATGACATGCCGGGGCCTCCTAACAGGTACAGTTTTAGAGCTAACTGGACCGTGTTCCACCTGAGCCACGCAGACTGCAGACCAGGGGACTTTGAGGCCTTCTCTGGGTTACAGCCTGTAATGGAAAATGACCTAAAGCTGAGTCAATGTGATTAGTCCAGAGTCTGGACACAGGCCGGCCAGTCCAAACCCAGCATCAGTGCCCTCTTTTTTCCTCATATTCTACCTATGTTCAATGCAGAATGTGGATTTGTGTGATTTTGTAAGAGAATCCGTGAATATTCCTGGACAAGATGTCTTCTTGAAAGCATTAGGATCTCAGATTTAAGATCTCAGATCTCATGGTGGTAAAATCTCAGATTTAAGATCTCAGATCTCATGGTGGTAAGATCTGAGATCTTACTATCACAGAGCCTACGGCTTTAGCTTCTGCTGAGAACTGTCCGGATAGTGTGTGTCTTTGGCTCGGAGCAGACAGGATCGGCTGCTTTGAATAAAAGATTTTGAACGTTCATTGTTCAGACTGAAATGTAGAAAAATAAATCTTGTTTTTTTTTCTTTAATCAAGTCAATATGCATATTCTTGTGCTTGACAGAATTTTACCCCAGCAGCTTTATACAGTTATTCTTTTGGAATTGAAAGGTTATTGTTGCAAGCACACACACACACACGCACTAACACACACACATACATATATAAAATCATGTATATGTTGATGAAAAATCCTCTTCTGCTTGTTTGCCCGCGCTCATTCAGCTAGTTGTTTTTCTCTTTTTACTCTCTTATGGAATTGAAAGATGAATTGGTGTTGCTGGCATACAACTCAGTGTGTGATGAATGAGACCTGTCCAGCCACTGAGAGGGAGAGTACAGTAGTCTATACAGCCCAGTATAGATTGATGTTTTCATATGGCGGGGAGGGGAGGTGATCGGGAAATTGAGCTGGGAGGTTGAGTGTGAGGATTGATGGAAAGAAGGATGGACAAATGTTGACAGAAGGAAGGCGAAATACTTCTGAGTGGAAGAAGGGACCGACTGTACATCAGCGTTTAGGACCTGGAAAATGGTGCTCACTGTTAAATGTCAGAATGGCCCGAGTTCCTCTCGGGCTCTTTCGCTATGAACTGTGGCATTTTCAAACATTCATGAGAGCTAATTGGAGATTGAGTTTTACCACGCACGGTCAGCAGGGAAAAGCCGGTAATGAAAGTTGCAATGAAAATCTAACAAACTTTGAATGTCCAGTCCGGGGTCACTGTAATCGACAGGCTGGAAGTTCCTCCAGAGATTCTGATGTGACGGGTCAGTTCAGATCCAAATTGTCAACCAGACTTAAACCCTTATTCAAACGGTCCACTACAAGGCCCAAGTGAATTGTGACTTCTTGAGCAATTTCTTTTCTTTAAAAAAAAAAAAAACAGTTTGTAAATCTAACCTCAGACTCGCAGATAAAAACATATTTGTGAATAAGTCTGTGCTGACAACATGGCTAAAAAACTATTACGAACAAGCTACAAGTAATGATAGGAGCTGCAAACCTCTTTTTAGTCTTTAATTGAGGACAAGACTTGATTTTGAAAATTATAACCTTGTTTCAGCAAGACTAAATTTAGTCAAATTGGTACAAGAGAGTTGTGTAGCTAATATTAAATAAGGGGACCTTCATATTTTTCTGATTTTTTTTTTTCAGAATCTGAGGATTTTAGACCATCAAAGTTATTCGCTGGTCAGTTAAATCCTTTTTGTAGCTGTCTTTGTTCATGGCCATTTCCAGAATGTTTGCAGACAGATCATCTTTTTACATCGTCCGCAAATAGGCTGAATCTTGCATAGCTTGTTAAGAAGCTCCTGCAGATGGTGGTCTAACTATGAACGTGCAATTAGTATCTTTTGTGGTTTTAGATGCTCCAGTGGGCAGCTAACGTCCGACGGGCAGTCAGTAACGTATGGTGATGCGGGGATTCTTTATCCTATACGAAGTCATTACTGTTTTGCCGTGTAAATAAACAAAACTCCTGTGTTTCTTGCCCAGTCTGGTGAAAATCTCTCCAGGTCTTTGTCTTGCGGTATTGTTTTTCCATTCTCTCTGCCTCACTCAGCAGCCAGTCTGATCCAGCTCTCATCTACTAACCGAGTCCCCAACATTGATTTACCTTCAACTCTCATTTAGGCTCAAACGCGGGCTGATAGGGAGAAAGGGGGCAGATTGGGGGAAAGAGAGCACAAAGCCTGTTAGTGGTCGTTTCGGCCTGGTAAATTTTAGACGGCACTAATCCGTCAGTATTTGGCACTCTCCACTCCTCCTCCTTCCTTCCATGGTCCCTCCCCTCCCCGGGCCCCCTCCTCCTACTCTAATCACCCTCTGTGTGTTCATGTGACATGTTTACTGCCCTAACTAACACCTCATTACGGCCAAGTGATGCTTTGTCAATAGCTATTGGTTCATTTGGGTACAGGTCTGCCTTTAAACAAAGATGTCCGCTGTGTGAAATGGAACAGTCTGGCCCTCCCCTCGCTTCCTGCTCGCTGACTGAGAGCAGAGGGGATGTACACTACAGTCTAAAACAACCCATTTACAGTGCTGACGGTCAAAGCCCGCTCAGGGGCATTTTAGGAAGGTTCACTGTTCAGAGTACATTCACTCTTATGTTTATTTAGCAGAAAAAAATACTTTTGGAGGGAGAGAGAGATAGAGATGTTTGAATATTGCATAAAATACTAATGTAAGTGGTGGAAATCTAAGATAGAGTTGGTAGATACAGAGTGTCTGACTGGATGAAAAGAGGCAGAAATTGATGCCACAATTTGTAAGTGTAATTGATATTTTCAGTGGCTGTGATTTGTAATGATTCCATCGTGGAGGGCAAAGTTCACACGGCCCCCATAGCTCCTGATGTTTTTAACATCGGGAGCCTGGTGGCTTTTTGGAGGTGGAGGTGTGGACTAAACAGGTTTTGCTGAATACTTGTCTTATTCACATCGTCTGGCCAAGAGACGATCTCCCAGTGCTGTCACCGATTCACTCCCAACATGCCAGCGGCAAACCTGATCAACATTTTTAAAAATAAGTCATCCAGCATTTGCAGCAGCTAACAGCATTAGCACGCTGTCCTATCATTTTGAGTCAGTATCGCCCATAATGGCGGAGCACAAAGATGCTAACACGGTTAGAGCTCTAACTGTCAGTGCTTGTAGACGAGGGTTGTACTCAGTGATGCTAACATATTTAGCTTTCAGCTTTATCTTTCATAGCTTTATCCCCCGTGTGTGGGTGTGTGTGTGGATATAAACCAATAAGGAGGGGGAGTTGCCATTTAAGGCAGACTGATGATGAAATGCCAGGAGATCCAGGTGATGAGATTAGCTGTGTGTCTCTGGAGAAGTGAGGACCTTTAGAGTCACCACAGGATTATAACTAAAGTAAATGATCAGTTTTATAACATATGTATCTTCATATTATGGCTTTTTGCTTTTACATTTCAAGTGAAATTACTGTGAGCCGTATTGATTTCTGAGCCGACTCAGACAATAGAAGACCAAAACAGTCTTCTTGAGCTAAATGTGCTACAAAAAAGTCTTCCCACTCATCGGGTGAAGTTTTAGGGATTCTGCACTTTAAAAACCTGCTCCTGTAAGACTAATTCCCTTCAAACAGGGACAAGCCTGTTCGAAAGGCAATTGGGATTTTTAAATTTAAACAGAGTTTACTTGCGGTTACTCGGTGGCTGAGAAGAATCTGCTAAAATCTTTAGATTTCAGGCTGAGACAGGCGGAGAGAAATGGATCTGGGGGTGGGAGTTGTGCACATGTCTTTAGGGAAGAATAGTGTTATTGAGAGATGGGGGTATGTTCTGGAGTCTTAATGGTCAGTCTGTCCCCACAGAGACTGGCTCAAATGTCAGGTCAGCTCTGAAGTGACCCCCATCCCGTTTGCTGTCTTCATCTTCTGATTGCATGCGAGTGTGTGTCTTAGTGTGTGCAGCAGAAACGTTGTATTGTTTTTCACCAAAATGATGATTTATTGCTTTTTCCCCTATAAGAACACATGATTTGTATAAACAAATGTAACCTGGATGGAGAGTTTGTGTCTGTGATCTCTCATTAACGGTTCCAAAATGTGGTAGCATGATTATAATAAACGTTTCTTTTTTCTAAAGGTATATTAAAGCGCATTTTAAACCTAAAAAACTAAATGTGTGTAGAGAAATGACCCACAGCCAGAAGTGATTAAGTATTAAGCTGGATTTTAGACCTCCACAATTAGAAATGGAAAAGTTATTTTCTTTTTCCTCCCCTGTTTGCAGGCAAGGCGCTGACCTTCCTGCTCCTGCAGCCCCCCAGCCCCAAACTACCTGCCCACAGCACCATCCGCCGCACCGCGATCGATCTGATTGGCCGAGGCTTCACCGTCTGGGAGCCCTACATGGACGTGTCGGCAGTGCTCATGGGACTGCTGGAGCTGTGTGCCGACGCAGAGAAGCAGCTGGCTAAGTGAGTCCGCCGGCACACACACGGCCACTTAAATGCTGATATGTGAGGGCCTTTACAGAAATACGTAGATTTCAACTTCAGGACTCTAATCAGATCCTACCGACACAATAGCTTTGTGAATTGAAATGCATCAGAAGTTGAAGGAACTGCTTGAGAATGACACAATTGACAGAACTTCTGACTCTGATGATAAGGATATGAATGGAATCCAACTTGGTTGACTGATTTTCTCTTCTTGAGTTTTCCTCAAAGACTTGAAGCAGGTTTTGTTCAAGACCCGTGTTTTGTATTGTCATGGATCTGATTTGATCTTTTCAAGTCGTCATTTCGTTCCCAACTGTTAAGCCGAGCAGCAGTTATGCAACAGCAAATTAAGAAGAAAACTCTTCTCCTAAGTTAGAAAAGACACATAACAAAACAGATTAGATGATCAGGGGATTGGTCCGTTGTAAGTGAGGGTGTCAGGTTTCAGTATAAAAGCGGCTTCCATCAAAAACTTTGTCATGTCAGGCAAAGCCAGAAACTCCTCCAATTGTTTAGCTCCAAAATAACATGTCAGTCCAAGATTACAAATATCTTTTGGACTGGAACACCCACAAGTCATGATATAAAACCTTGTAGAACAAGTGAAGGTTTTGTGGAGGAAATCTCTGTGTGTGCTAGCCAAAGCCGAAACCCTGTTTCAGTTCACACAACCTTCAAACCCTCAGCTGGTACCAGGTAAATCGATATTGCTACATTGCCACAAAAATCTTTTCTTTCAGTTGAATTTGTCTGATTCTGGACCCAGAAACCCTACCTAACCTCACCTAAAATAACATTACACAAGATGGAAGCAATCCACAGCCCCACTCAGAAACACTCTTAACTGGCGTGGTATAATCTGAGAGAGGCTGACCAGTCCAAATTAAGGCACTTTTGGAAAAGGTGTTGTCTTATTTTACCTGACAAAGACAATAAAGACCATCCAGTTGGCTTCTGTAATGGCCTCTGGTGGCCTCAGAGCCCATGACATGAGTGACTAGCATAGCTGAAGCTTCCATTCATTCACAGACGTACAATATTAGTCAGAAGTTTGGAAACCTGGAAGAGTTTTTTTGGACATTTGGAGAGACAACATAAGATCATGAGATCATAAGAGATGAGATCTGATGCATTTTCCCAAGAGGATTGTGTTTTTATTCCCCCACATAAGACAATAACAAACTTAAATCAGTTATAAAACAATCTTTTCATAGACACAGTGTGTGTAAGCCAAAGGAAAATCAATTGTAAAAAGCGCTAACGATGTGTTCTGACAAGGAAAATCACAATACATTATTTACTTAAATCTCTTTATATAATGCAAATGGAAGAAGAATCCCACAATTAGTCATTTAAAGCTTAAGTCCGATTGGTTGATTGCTGTGTTCATATCTTTGGCTCAAGCATCCTCCTACATTCCAGAGTACTGACTGCAGCCCCCAGTAGAGATGCACGTATGTGCACACACATACGTCGAGGCATTATGGAGCAGACGCAGTGACTCATGGAAGCTGGGCTTTAATCGCATTTAAAGACATTATGATGATGTAACGATGTCTACCGTGCTCTGACATGAAACCATTATCTGCGTTCTCAGTGTTGGTCTGTACTCATGTGCCAACCAGGTCTTTCTGTGTATTTCTTTGCACAAGGATGAGGGGTGGTTTAAATATTTTGTTCCCTGCTTCTCATAGAATTAATCAGATTTATTATGTTTTGTTTTACTGTAATACAGCTGACTTTTTAATGAATACTTTAGTTTTGAGGAGTTCCAATCAGCCAGTATTTCTCATGAATAACAGAAAAATAGTCATGTAAAGGAACTATCTCAGTCTGTCTTGCTTCCTGGTCTCATTGAGAGGACAGTTTAGGACCACAGGTGTCAATGGCAGAAAGGTCCAGGGTCAGAGGTCATGGCCGCCTGCATACAATCAAATGTTGTGGTTTGTGTTTTGTTTTTTGTTTTTTTTTCTCCAAGAAAAGGTCACAAGTCACCGGCAGGTTTGCTCAGTGGCATTTTTCTCGTGTGTGATACAAAAGACTACATGTGTTTATGTGTGTTAGTGTGTGCGGGGGGGGTCAATTCCCACTGAGATATTACAATTCAGTTTTTATTTATTATGTTTATACTTTAAGAGATCACTTTTTTAAATTTTCAGTTTAAGACTGAAGATAAAGAATGATTTGGAAAACTTCTCAAATGTATTTCTTATATATATATATATATATATATGTGTACTGTATATATTGACTTGAAGAGATTTATGCCCTGAAGAGCTTGTGTCTTCAACAGAGTGACCAGATTTTGTTCCCCGTTTATTGTGGTTTCATCAGCTAATGTTACACCCTGTAACACCCCTTGTGGTCTTTTTGAAAAAACTCCCTCTTTGGAAAAATTGTATGAATCCAGAGGCATGTTTGTGCAATCGGGTTTTGAATATCACTCTATAGATTGGCTCACTGCCTTGAATACGGACACAGTAGTAGGGATGGTGAGGGGAAAATGTATGATTAATCATTTGTTGTTTATTAGAGTGAGTTGTTGCTTCCAGGTTCTGTTTGGGCAAATCAACGGCTTACCCAATAATCACATCAGTGCATTAAAATGCCCAAGATAAAAAAAGAAAGAAAAACGGATGTTTTTAACAGATTCCGAGCAGCTGACTTTTTTTCCCCCTGTGATGCACCTTTACAGGTGTCAATACAGTCCTGTTTTAGCTACGTGTACATCTGAAATAATCTTTTGCTAGTAGCCAGAGATTAGAAAAAGGTCAGTGTGCGGAGTCTCACACACATTTAATGCATCAGCGACACACAATAGTAAAAAGGAGACAAAAAAACACTGTTATCACTCTGAGTTCTGCAAGTATTTGTGCTTTACTTACATGAACAACACAGAATTAAATGTTCACGTCTTTAAAAGCAATTAGACTTTCAGCATTATCGAAATCACGTTAGCCTGAGGCAGCCTTTTTTATTTGGTTCATCTCATGTGAGTGGAATCTGTTGGATGTTAAAATCTTCATGACAGTCTGATCACAACGAAATTAATGTTTTTCAGCCCTATGAAATACAGATTCTTCCAGTATTTTAAATATTTTAAATCATACTTAGTTTGAGTGAAAAAGCTGAAGCACGAAGTTGCTGTTGGATGTAAAATAAAAGAAAGTCCTTGTTAATGAAAGTTTGATGTCATAAATCAGAATGGTTCCATTATTGATACCACTTACTTTGTAGACTACAGACCAAACATGAAAAAGTTTTACAGTTAATGGCCTGTGAAATGAACATGTGCCTCATTAGTGTTTACAGAAATAACTCTGATACCCTTTCAAATCTTTTCAGATTTTATTATCACAAATTCCTAAAGTGTGGATTAAGCATCTCGCTGATGGGCATATACCACCTTTATTTAATACCATGGCATTTTTTAAAAGAAAGTTTAAAAACTAAAGTCCATCCTCCCTGACATCACCACAGAGATAAATACATGATTTCGGTTCACGTGTGTTTCAGTGCTAGATGGTACCTCCCCTGTTCGTCCTGCGGGGATAAGTACAACTCTTGTTATTGCTTTTTTGTCTTTAGGCGGCTCTGCCAAAAAATACATTTGTTCTGGAAGTAAATAATGTGTTGGGAAACTGTACATCATGCAGTGATAACTACATGCTGTCATCTAATCAACCCAACTGGAAGCAGAAAAACAATGATAAGAAACCTCCGGCTCCCTCTTATAAGATACAAAAAAGTGCTGATGTGTATCGATCCATGTATGTGTCAGTCTAAACCTTAGACTCTAAGACTTACAAACAGACCTAATGGGAGTTTTTGGTGAGTTCTACAGAAACTAAAAGGCTTTATTTAACAATCAGAGAAAATGGTGTACAACAACCAAACAGTATCATCGATGTCTGTAAGAACTCAGCGAGCTAGTTGTTGTGTCAGATGATCAGTAAGCCCAGGAATTCACCGGTCAATAAAATGTAGAGAAAACTATCCAGCTCCAAAAGCCTTCTCATACAGTGATTAAATCAGATCCGGTAGAACTTTGTTGTCATTTCACGTGGACAGGTACAGAGTGATGCAATGCAGCTTATTAGAGGTATGATTCAGCATATGGACAATATATACAGATGAAAACCCACATACAGGGCAAAATATGCACAATCTTTGACTGGGTTGTTTAAAACATGTTATCCAGATGGATATATGTGTTAAATGTGCTTAGACGATGGCATAATGAACAATAAGGGATATGGGCAGATTATAAATTAGGTGCTAGAAAGACAGATGGAGTGAGGATTAAATAATTAGCAGTATTTACATAATCTTACTGAACTAGTGCAGTAGTCAGTACCAAGTACAAACAGCTTGTTTAAAGTGTGTGTGAGCAGAACAGTCCACTGCTTGAGGGGTGATGGTCTTTGGTCAGTGAGGGAATGAGGAGTTGAGTAAGAGTTGAGTAAGAGTTGAGTAAGAGTTGAGTAAGGTTACAGCTCTGGGGAAAAAGCTGTTCCTCAGTCTGTTGGTATCTGTCTGGAGGCTTCTGAAGCCCATGCCTGAGGGGCAGGAGGGGAACACAAAACCAGCTTTCTTTGCCAGGCTGGAGGTGTTGGTAGTCCAGGATAGGACCTCCAAAATGTGGGCCCACCAAGTTGAACTTGAGACTTGCTCCATGACCATCCCATCATGCGGGCCTCTTGTCTCCTTCCTGACCTCCACCATGAGCTCCTTTTAGGTTACTGTCCAGCGGCGTCTGACCAGGTGCCACACCCCGTCCCTGTAGGCCGTTCATCGTTGTCTCTCATGAGGTCAATCGCATCTACGAAACCTTGAAGATGGAGTCGGATCTATGAACCGGGATGCGAGTCACAGAGAGAGGTGGTCTGACTGTCCTAGGTGGGGTTTGTGGTGTAGGCAGTAGCAATTTATAGTCAAAAGTTTTGTTTCCGTAGTTCGAAACCACCATTGTACAGTAGACAAACAGGAGCACGAGAACTGTTGACTGGTGTGTCATGTGACATGGAGACATGGCAAAATGGATGTCAACTACTGAGATCAAGAAGAACAGATTGCTTGATTTTGATTATCGATAAAACAAAAGTCGAGTTGTAATGCCAAAGAGGAAAGACATCAGTAATGATTTTATGCTCATTAGAAGTTTTTAAAGGCGATTTATAAAGGATTTTTAAACCTGCGATTCTATATTTGGAAAGATTATTCACCAGTGGAAGCAATTCAAGTCAAAATTCAAAGGGGTTCAATGCTCAACTGAGCCACTTTTAAACAAAACAAATAAAAAGAAAGCAAAGCTCCCGAAACTAAAACTACATGTCAGACTCTGAGGAAGAAATCTGCTGAAAAGAATCGTGTTTTCTGTAAAAAGAACCTTGCGGCGTAACTTATGTCTGCAGAGACTCCTGGCAAACAACGAGGTGGGACAGTGTGGTGTGTCACAGTCCAAAAAACAGGCCAATGTTCAGGAAAAGCAACTGTTCACGGCACCGTGGAGCCTCTGCCAAAAGTGACAGGTGCCCTCACATATGTCCGCTTTGTGTTTGAACCCAGCAGTCAGTAAGCCACTTCAGAATCCAGTCAATAAATCAGTCAGTAAGCCTGTCAGCAAACCAACCGGTTACCCCATCTGTACCCTGCTGCCAGAACCAATCAGTAAGTCAGTCCGTCCCCAACAGGCAGCCAACCATACGCTCCCTGGTCGGCTTTTCTTTTTTTTGTGTTTTTTTTACAGTGGTGACTCTGGCATCATGTGACTGAGGTCATTCGCTCCTCCCTAACAGTCCAAAATCAATACGTCCAGTCCTGGCTGTGTCTGCATGTGTGCGACTCCATATTGACCGAATAATGTCAGCGTGGCATCAGCTGTGAATGCGCTCATGTTGCCAGGTTCACACACACACACACACACACACACACACACACACACACTGAACCCTTTGCCGTGTCTCTCCGCCTCCACGCCAAGCACTGAAAGTTCAGCACAGCTCAAAGACTCCAAACTCCAAACTGGCCGTTCGTTTTTGGGGGGCCCTCAGCTGCTTTTTCCCCCTTTGTGAAATGGAAGGCCGGCGCTTTGGGATTTCTCTGGACTGGCGGTCACTCAGGGGTGAAAGAGATGCTTTAAGTCTGATTCTTGTTTTATGACGCTGTCCGGTGTGTGTGTGCATGTGTGTGTGCGTGCGCGCGCATTCTCCCGCGAGTCAAATGACTTCATTACATGTTCTAAATGTGGGTCATTAACCTCGGCGGGCCGCGGCACAATTAGCGCCCCGTGTTTCCGCTGCATTATATCAACATGAGGACTGTTTCCAATTACAGCCACCTCCTGAAATTCAATTAAACTTTTCAGTATTGCTGATGGATTGCCAATATATTACCGGTATTAATTGCATGATCTGTGGCTGGGATGGGTAATCAGAGGAAATTAATCGTGCAGCTTGGTTGTTCATCCACCGATCACCCCCCCCCCCCCCCCCCCCCCCCCCCCCATTTGTTAACAAGGTGGCCTCGCTTACCATCGTGGTCTTCCTCTCTCTCTCTCTCTCGCTCTCCCTGATTCACACACACACACATACACACACCCTCACTCCAAGGGGTGTGTGGCCAGCTGTTGGGATGTGTGTGTGTGTGTGTGTGTGTGTCTAATTCCTGTTGCATTGTGGGACTCCATTATGCTGTCGCCTGGTGAATGGCTCCCATTGACTCGGCCTTGACATTATAAGCTGCTCGCTAATCTCTTCACTCCATATATTAGTAAGACTCAATCTCTGCACCCTTTTTTCCTCAGATTTACCTTGTTTTCTTCCTAAAGTGCTTTGTTCAAATGTTTAGCTCCGTCTTCAGATTAAAAATCGCATGAATAAAGTCTGTTTACAAATATATTTATAGGAAAAAAGCACGAATCACCATAAAATACCATAAAATACTCATTTTCAAAAGCTGGTGTGACCTGTTAGACAAAGTCAAGACATCAGTAAATAAAGTAGTTTTTAAATTAAATATAGTTTGTAAAATAAATTATAGATTAGATATGAGGCCCAAATTGTAACAAATTATAGAAAATATATTAAAGACAGGAAGAATACAGTAGAATTTGCCACACTGATCAGCTTGATAATTGTTTTTAAAAAAAACTATTTTACTTTGGGATGGCATATAAAATAAATACTTAGGTTGAGATTTTTCATTCCGAAATGTGGTAGCGGGTTTTAAAGGGAAGTTTAAAAGTTGTTCAAATGTCAGTTGAGCATCCTAATGGAGGCTACTGATGCTGATTGTCTCTGTTGTTGAGGAAATCCAGAATAATTACTGATTCATGGCTGCAATAAGTCCCTAGAGAAAAGTGTTTGAGAGTGATTGCAGTGCTCACTCTGAAATGACGATTTGAACTCTGGTGTATCCCAAGACTTCTGACCTAATCCTCACCTGAGATGACTTAAGAATTCCAAGCTGTTTCAGAACCTTTATTTTAGTGCTAAACTCACATTTTCTCTCTGTCTCTTCTTTCCTCTCTCCGCAGCGTTACTATGGGTCTGCCCCTAAACCCCCCGGCAGACTCGGCCCGCTCGGCCCGCCACGCGCTCTCCCTCATCGCCACGGCCCGGCCGCCCGCCTTCATCACCACCATCGCCAGAGAGGTGGGGCAGAAACATCCACGCACTCCGCCCATGTCCATTTGGACATTTTTATAAAGCAACATATATCTCCCGCTTCTGCATATTTGCATATATTCTGCATGTTTTCGGAGGTCTGGATGAAAAGTGGGTTGTGTACTTTAGCCAAAGCTTTTCAGACATGCCTTTAAAACTATGTTTGTAGCTGTTTTAGTGGGTGGAGAGAGCCTCTCGACTTCCCTCCCCTCTGCAGAAGAGGGTGCCTATTCTGAGATGTGTAATGTAAATTTGAAGTGTGTTATCGGTGTGTGAGAGCAAAACAAGCTACTCTACACCCACCTACAAATTACAGACAAACAACTGCTGGTGTTTTCTCCACCGTCCAGTACAGACAACCGGCAGACATTTCTCTTTTTAAGTGTGACCTTGTTGCGAGTAATGCTCATAACTACATAAAGTCATATGTACATATACAGTCTTAGACCATATACATAATTTAATGGAAACCACTTTACTAAAAACCCTGCTTACACTCTCAGATATACCTAATAACAGTGGACGGATCATTTGGAGTTATCACATGGTGATTAATGATGAATATTCCAAATGTGTTTCTGTTTATTTTTGTCATGTTTTGTTAAAGAGCCAACTAAAGACTTCAAACAACAACAACAGCAAAAAAATCTCTTTTTATTTTTTCTTGGATCAGGCTTTAAAGAGTTAAGACACCCAAATGATAAAGATGCTCTTGTCCCAGTTTGTCCCAGTTTTACAAACTGGGACAGAATGTCTAAATAATTTCCTAATTCCTCAACTATGTATTGCTGAATAACAACAGTACTTCAAAACATGGAGGCTGAACTTTAAAAGATCGTATTTGAGAAAGTTGAAGAAGAGTATTAAGGAGATGAATATGGATAAAACGGAGAGCTTTGAGGGGTTTTGGGTTCTCTCCTCCACGGTACACTAAACAGTCACAGTGTCGCTCTGGTAAGTGTCTTTTTGTTGCTTCTCTTTTCGTGTCTTAGGTTCATCGCTTCAACGCAGCTCAAGCAAACTCGCAGTCGCAGCAGAACGTGCACACCACCACGCTGGCCCGAGCCAAGACGGAGATCCTGCGGGTGATCGACATCCTGATCGAGAAGATGCCGGGAGACGTCGTTGATTTGCTGATCGAAGTAAGAGAGCACGTGTCAGCCCATTTTTCCAAACGTACAGAAAAAGTGTTCCACTACAAGAAAACAAAACAATCGCCACCTTCTTTCCTCCTCCTCCTCCTCCTCTTCATCAGGTGATGGACATAATCATGTACTGTATTGAGGGTTCTCTGGTGAAGAAGAAAGGACTGCAGGAGTGTTTCCCTGCAATTTGCAAGTAAGTGTGTGTATGTGTGTGTGTGTGTTAGCGTGTGTTAGCATGTGAGGGCTTTCCAAACAATTTCCTCAATGAGGAATCAGCAGGGGGGGAACTTATCTGCCTATTTGGGCAAGTGTCAAAGGCCGGACGACTGCTCCCGTTGGATGGGCCTCAGGGCTTGCGTTTGAGTGTGTGTGTGAGTGTGAATATTCTAATATGTGACAGGGACAGATTCTTTTCCTGGTATCAGCCCAGAGTAGGTACGGTGATAGGCATGTGGGTGGAGATATAATGTTGAGATATTCTGTGGGAGCAGCTCTGTGGAGGTTAGCTGCTGTGACATGCTGGTAATTCTTAATATCCAGGTGCACTCTAGTAGGAGTCCAGCCCAACGTGCGACTGCCATGGATCCTCGGGTACTTATTTGATCGGTTTGTGCAGGTTTTACATGGTGGGCTACTGTGACCGGAGTCACCGGATCGCCGTGGGAGCTCGCCAGGGCTCGGTGGCCCTTTACGACGTTCGGACTGGAAAATGCCAGGTACAGACCTCAACCGCATCGCCCAGCTTCTCAGCCCTACTGTTAGAGTTTAATCACTATTAACCCCCCCCCTTTACCTTCATGTCCCTCTTATCTTCCTATCCACCCATCCCATCCTCTACCTCTATAGCTGTGTTTGACGTTTTATTTCCGATAAATCTTAAAGGGGATACGTTTCTGCTAACTGCAGAAATTAGAAGTTTGAATGAATTTGGCTAAAAGGACAGGGAGATATAAAGAGGGAGGACATCTGTTTCCCTTACATTTCTTTTTTTTTTCCAAGTAATTTTCCAAGACTAATGAAAAAACAGCCACTCTCTTCCTCATGATTTTATATTCGTCCACATTTGATTGATTGCGTGAGAAATTATGTAGTTAAAGTGTTTGCATGTGTTGTTTGTCATTGTTTGTGTGTATGCCTTGCATCAAAGTGTGTGTGTGTGTGTTTGTGAGTAATTTGCTGTGTATTGATTCTCAGTAACCCGAGCAGTCCAGTCTGGTGGAGGGGGTCATTTCTATCTGATAACTGCATGGCCCCGTTCACCTAACATCTAGTTTGATTGTGCGGAAGTGTGTGTGTGTGTGTATCAGGTGTTTGTGTGCATACTTTACCGCGTGGTATTTGGACTAAATAACACTTAATAGATAATGGACTCGTGGGTGGCGTATTTCATGTGTTCCTTTTCAAGGGTAACAGAAAGCTTCCATTTTGAAAATGGAGATAAATCTCTTCGTTTTTATTAACTTGGCTTCCATTTTATTGATTCTGCCACTTTGCGGTACTTTGACTTCTGCTTGTAATGTAAGTGTTTGCTAACATCTATAACCAGAAGTATGTTGCAGGTGATGATTAAGCTACCCTTAAATGGTCAGGCATCCTCGCTAGTGGCCATATCAGTCGTTTTAAGCCTGATAGGTGACCAGCTCTCATCCACCTCCAGTAAGACTCCATCATATGTTATATTGGAACTAAAATCTCTCTCCTTTACCATGCTAGACATTCATAACCAAATAGATGTGCTCTGTTCATGTTTTCTGTGCCAAAATGTTTCTAATGTCCAGTTGCCTTTCAAGCTTTTAAGATCACTTTTGTGGAAATTTTCTACACACTGTAACTTCAACATTTCATAGATGTAGAAACTGACCCACTCTGACTCTGCTTTAAGTGAAAAAGAGGGCAAAAATAGGGGGGTGCTTATCTAGGCAAAATAACATCCAAGCACCCCTTTACAAAATTGAAAACAGTGTGCCCAAACTTGGTTTTTAAAGCAGCTTTGAGACTCCCAGGCTGTGCAACATGACTGAAAACCTCATTCTTTGACGTGGTATTTGTGCTCTGATCAATGGAAGTGAACCAGGCCACACAGCTAGCCTAGCATGCACACCTGACTGTGACATATTTCAGAATCGGGGATTGAAAAGGATTTTTCCTGTGCTTCAAATAGCAGGTTAAACTACATTACCAGCATACTGGATGAATCTTTGAAGTCCATGAAGTGATTGTTTCTGTAGCCAATGTGGTGGGTGCGGGCCATGAGAAAACATTAAAAGATCTGTTGATTTCAAAATGCCAGCCCAGTGAATAGTGAATATTCTCACATTATACTCTCATCAGTGAGTAGTGAAGGGATTTCCCCATTAGCTGATGAAAGCTGGTCATTCATGTGGCCCATCATGAGAGTAAAGAAAGCAACGTTCCAAAAAAGATCCCAGATGAGTCCAGAGGTCCGACTTTAGTGATGTTATATTTAACATAGCTCAGCCAATCTGAGCCGTCTGAGCACCTGTTAAACCCTTAGCCCCTCCCACTAAGACATCACTAGTTTGTCAGGACGGGGAAAAAGGATTTTACATAATGGTACATGCAACATTTTATGGGGAGTGTTATATGTCTGGACCAAAATATGATGATGAATAAAAAAACCTGTATAAAGAAGAGTTCACCCAAAAACTAACAAAAAAAAGCCCAGTTTTGCTGAACATTGTGGAATGTGTCTGCCAAACCACACAATGCAAAAACTGTCATTTTTGTAAATGCCGAATTGCAAGAGGCATACTATAAAATACAAAGAAAACGGTAAGCTGTTGCTGTGTAGGAACCCCTGGACATAGGTCATTTTCTCTGTGGTTAAATGCCAACATTAGACTGAAGAACTAGCTTGTGATGTGTGATGGACTGATGCCACATTCACCTGTACCCTGCCTTTTCCCCAAGTATGCTACGGGTAACAAAAAAGGATGGAGGTCGGTAGTTTATTAGCAGTTTTTAGATAAAAAAGGCAACTTAAACTCTGGGTACATTTAAATAATTTATGCTAATTAAAAAATCCGATCACTTTGTAAACATTATCAAAGCAAGGCAGTTTAAATGCAAAGTTGTGTCATTTTTTATGCACATTAGCACACAAGACTCATAAAGATTAAAACTCACTGTAGTACGTTTAAAAAATGTTAAAGACAAAATGTGGAAAAGGAAAGGGTGCAAATGGAGAAAGAAAAACTGGGTTACAGTAAGCAAAGAAAAGAGTAAGATGGATAGAGGAATAAGGACATGAGGGCCATTTTCTGATCATAATTCATCTGTGTGTGTGTGTATGTGTGTGTTTGTCCAACCGTAGCTCGCTGGTCTCTGCATGGCCATCTGCCACAGCTTTGATCAGCCTCTGTGAACAGCCCTTTGTCAGCTGCATCCCTCTGTTGGTGTGTGTGTGTGTGTGTGTGTGTGTGTGCGTGCGTCCAGCTGCTTGCTTTTTTAACAGACTCAACAGAGTCCACTAATTGAACACAAAGAAACAATCTCGCAGATCTTTCTCTCTCTTCCTGCGCCTGTTTCTTTCTGTAACCGCTTAAAAGCGGCGAAATCCCCCAAAGATGTCCCTCCTGCCTCAGACCGGCCACCCCCGTCTGTGCATCACACACACCAACTTAGCACGGCTCACCCAAACCTGCCGCACAGCCGCCTTTTGTCCTGATCTGAGCTGCAACTATACCGTAACCGTGGAGATAGCAGTGGCCCCGAATCTGGTTTTGAGCTCATCTTTTTGCTTACAAAATGGTCTGTGATTGTGTGAAATATGCTTTTTCTAATGATGTTATCCTGCCTTTAAAAAAAAATCTTAAAAGTAAATATTTATAGCTATAATCAGGTTATATGTAGTCCACAATGAGCACCATCTAGAAGCCTATGTGAACGAAGCTGTGTGCTATTAGCGTTTCTTTTGAATTAACATAGCTGTTATGCTGTATTGGAATGCCAGGTGTAGCTTTCTGTGGTGAAACAAATAAAGTCAGTTTACCTGATGAAACGAATGCAAAATTGCAACCAGCCCATAGAGAGCGGGGCCAGTTTCTGTCAGGAGCCTAATGCTCCTGACCGGCCATAAATGGATGGCTGTATGAAGATTCAGAAGGCTCCACACTCAAACAAAAAGGTGGTAGACAGTTTCTGAACAAGGTCCAGAGAATAAAAAAACAAACAAAAAAAAACATTCCAATATCATGAAGACACATCTAGGTGCACAATCCATCAGATATATGGCTGCAGTTATTTTTAAATATCGAAAAAAAGCCCTGAGCAGCCGAAATACTGTGTATTTGTTGTTCTTGCACCCCATTCATTTTGAATGAATTAACACAAGGAATACACTGATGCAATTTCAGTTTAGGGGGGAGCAAAAAGGCTCTTGGAGGGGTTAATGCTGTGGTCATTCATGGGCTTTACTGGGTTTACCAGCTGCCAATCTTAGAACAGATAAGAAATAAATGGGCTAAAGCATGTGTGTGATACTCTCCACCGCAGATGCTTCACACACACACACTTAAACACACACCGTCCGGTTCAGGTGCATTAAAGTGCGGAGGGCCGTAAACGGTTTCAGTGGGCTTCACTGCTCTCTGATTGGCTGATTGATTTGGCCGACAGTCCAATTTGAGACACTGATCAAATATGAAGGCATTTCTCTTTAATGCACATTCAACAGCCACACTCTGGACTGTTTCTTTTTACTGTATATGCAGGTTTTTCTTGTGTGTGTGTAGGTAGTAAATGAACGTTAACACATGGAACTCTCTGCTTTTGGAAACTTCTACATTTAAAAAGACATAAAAGAAAAAGTCCTTCTTAGTGTTTGCGTTTCTGGATTGACCTGTGGCCCTTTAAAGAATGTCCCCATTTTAAGATGTGAACTGGTTGGCAAACGTTTGTATTTAGTAAATGATGCTAATTTTACTGTGTAATATAGAGAAATCTATGTTCCCACTATGTTTGTGGTGTCTGGCTTCTTTTTCTTGCCGTTTGATTCGGTCCTTTACGTTTATGTTCAGGCACTTTTAACCAAAGTGACTTACACAGAGACTGGAGAGTGGCCCAGTTTTAAATCTGGAGTCACGTTTCCTGCCACCACCAAACTTCTGTAGGCTAGACTGCAGTCTAGAGACCCGTTGAATAGATTCACTCAGAAGTATTTGAACACCTTACTACACGATTTTGGCTTTTTAGATGATATTTTACATAATTTTGTTTAGACCATTTCACTTCTTCTTTTCTTTTTGTTTTAAAAGGTGTACTGAATCAACTGTTTTGTCTCGAGTTTTGGCTTTTCAACTCGTATGGAAACCACTAATGACTGACCAAAATGGTTTAAATAAACCAACAGTTATAGACGTAACACATTCATTCAGAAAGTTAGCAGAGCTCTCTGGAAACTAGGAAATGAATTCATGCTAATAACTTTTATCAGTTTGCAATTTGATGTCAAATGAATCAACAGTTTGTTCTTGTAGTTGCTTTAGGAATGATCCAGTTATTGAGAGCCATTTCAGGTTTGACTTGTGTGAAGTTTTAGTGGTTCTGCACAGAGGTGTCCTCTCTTCTGTCCACTGGTGTGAGTATTTCTGCTTGTTCTCAGCAGCTTCAGTGTTCTTTAACTGGAATAGCTGATCGTTTGCAGACGATCTGCTGGCCTTTAGGTTGGGCTCTGGAGGTGGATTCAATTTAGGAATTCTCAAAAAAGATGACGTGGAGGGGCCAGACTGGCAAAGCCAGTGGAATGGCTGGAACTCAGGAGAGAAAAGGAAGAACTGAGCTCTCTGCTGGAATCTAATGGGATTTCCTCTCATAGAAGGAGGGAGAGAATGAATTAAAAATATGAGATTTTCATTCCATCCTGATGTTGTTATTTTTCCCAGCCTGAGTGGCCGCAGACGGGTTATTATTTCTGGCTGGGGCGGGGTGCGTCCTAATCTCATCTGGAGGGTTTGTAATCTCGGTGGCAGGCTGAGCCCGGGTGGGGATCTCTCTGTGGCCCGTTATTGTGTTCCGCACGCCGCATCTGGTGGGACAGTTGATTGTGTTAGGCAGCGGGATATTTCGTCCCACGAGCTCAGCGGGCCACTGGCAGCATCTGTCGGAGCAGAAGCCGCCAGCGCTCTGATGGAATTATCTCCTCCAAAACCAAACTCTGGCTGTCAGGCAAAATACGGCCGAAGTGATGACTTTCTCTGAGACAGCTCGATGAAATTTTAACGGGGAACAAATCTGCTCCGTTTGGTCACACAGGCTATGATGTGAAGGCAGCACAACAAATATATTTTGAGCCAAACCGCGATGTTTTGTTTTGTTTTTGTATGTTTTTTTCAACTCTGTGACGTGTCACCTTTGCAGATCGTGTTGGGAATCTCTCAAATGATGCTTCATGTGAAATCAGAATCAGAAATACTTTAATATTCCAGAGGGAAATTATTATTACAGCATATATATATATACATGTCTATATACATATATATGTATATATATTTATACAGTGATGAATGAATCAGCTCTCTTAAAAAAATCAAGAAAAAGACAAAACCATCCCCGCTTTTTGAAATTCACCAGTTCCCTGTTAGCAGAAAGGTGGAATTCCAACAGTGACGGATCGCTTTTAAAGTTGTATCCACGTTAATCTGATGAAATACTTTAAAGCAAGGCTGATTTCAAATCTCTGGGCATCAGAAGCACTTTATAAATGGTTCCTTCTAGAGCCTGGAATGAAAGAGAAACTCCAGACCACACTATCAGTATCCTGCTGACTTGCTTTCAATCAATCTTCCATGAACTTGTAGGTAACCCTCTTCTAGGTTTGCTGTGGCTGTAACACACAGCTGAACGTCCTCAGATGTAGATCCTTGCTTACATGGTAGTAAAAGGAAAAAACATCATCAACTTGAATGGCACAGTAGGTGTTCCTGTTCTTATGGAGATCAGTACAGACCTAAGTCTCAAATATTGATTTCCTTTTCCACGTAGAAACTATCCAACACCTTTTTTTAATTATATTTTTTTCTTCCATCTCTGACTTCTCACTGACTTTTCCTCTCTCACGTGAAAATAAAATCAGATTAAAAGAAAAATGCTTTGTTTAAGCTTAAAGGAAATTCTGTTGTTGCAGTATGTTTATTAGAAAAATTGCGGTTTTACGTATTTTCCTCATTTGATTCTAACAACGGAGGTCGTTTGTCACAAAAACTCCCTTTATTCTTTCTGCTAAGTTGGTTTCAGTGTATTTAATGCACCCCTCCATCTCTTTTTCTCCACAGAACATCCACGGTCACAAAGGCCCCATCACAGCAGTGTCGTTCGCCCCCGATGGCCGTTACCTAGCAACCTACTCCAATGCTGACAGCCACATTTCCTTCTGGCAGGTGAGACACGCCCCAGTCCTGGATCAGACGCCTCTGAAATGTTCTGCCCAACGCCCTAACTGTTCTAAAAGTTTTAGCATGTTTGCAGAATTAAGATGATGGTTCTGACCTTTAAAGTGCACTCTCAAAATCACAATGTTTTAATTCACTTCAACGATTTTTCATAGTTCCCCAACGGGAAAATGACACCACTGGAATATCCATTCTTATTAGAATATGCAATTGTGTAGATGGATAAAGAAATGACTATAAATGAGTGTGTATACATGTAGAACTATGTAGAATAGTGTGGTGTGTAATATATAATAACAAAATGATTTGGAATAGATAATTAATAGATATTAATAGATAATAGATCTTTCCTTCTTTTTTTTTCAAAAATCTGTTTTTAAAACCAAACAAGTTAGTGCGATTCTTTTGAAAAAATAACAAAGGTCAGCAACTGAATGATCCTTATTCACACCTGGTGTAGATTCTTAGTCTTCCAAGGACTTATTCTCGGATTTTCTAGATGATTTCCCTCTTACAGTTCTTAAAATGACAGCTGTGGATTGGATGATGGTTTGATAAATTTGAGAGAGGGTTTTCCTTAATATCTTAAAATAAAAATAAAGACCTGCCTTCAGTGAAATCAGTTAGCAGCTCAGACAGGTGAACAGCTTTCCTGTTGCCATGGTTATGCATCAGAAGGAAATGGAATCTTGCGAGTTGGCAGCAGAAGTCATTCCAGAAGTATTCCGACCAATCCACCACAGAGGATAACTATCCAGAAATGTGTGTACTCAAATGGAAGGGTTTGTTTAGAAATACAAAACAGATCACATACACATACACACACACACACACACACACAGTAGTTCAGACTGTCAAGTTTTGTGGCAGAAATATATATATATATATTTTAAAAAGTGTAATTCTAGTCCATATCACAGATTGGAGATGGAACGTCAGTTGTTTGAGAAACGTTCTCTATCAAACGTTTGAAGCATAACGTCATTGGAAAAAAGTCTTCTTAGTATATTACACTTAACACGAACCTGGAGATCAAATGAAACCTTTCCAAATGTTCTCATAAACCAGGGTTCCTGTAATTCAGGTGAAGTCACAGCGTGAACGATGAAAAAGGCGACACACAGACTCCCGTCTCTTATCTCTTCCCAGAACTGTTTTTTTGAGTGAGAGGTCTTCACAATTTCTGATATGGCTGTCTGTACACACACACACACACACACACACACACACTCTAATGGCATTACTGTAAGCATAAACCACTGGGCGCACCGGCAAGATGGCAGCTGTGGTAATTAGCTGGCAGACGCTTTGTCGGTGTGTGTAATTGTGTGTGTGCATGTGTGTGTGTGTTCGGGGTGGTGTCTCAGGAAACTAGAGAGTTTCTAGTTGTTGGTTCTTCCTGCTGGGATACGCAGACACACACACACACACACACACACACACACACAGTCTGTTTGTGGTGTTTCCTCTGTCATTCTTTAATAATGAATATAAGACTTCGGCCTTCATCGTGCTTATTTTTTGTTTTTTTTGTTACATGGATGGTCCTTTCACTCCACTTTGACCGCCTTCCTTAACATTTTTGTAAAACCATTTACATCCTCCACAAAAAACTGCTTAGAAGACAACAAATAGTCACGGCCGTGTTGGGATCTGATGGCTTCTGTGAGCCGTCACAGATCAGTAAAACCACGTAAAGACCCACAGAGCCCACAGGATCTACTGACAAATGAGGGCCATCCAGATATGTGTGATGTGTTTAGAGTGGACCAATCAGGAGGTGATCGTTGCCGTCTTTTGTCTCCACACGCAACTGTCTAAAGCTTGATTTACACAAGCAAAATTTAACTTTGAGTGTGGGTCTTGTTTTGAGTATTTTATAGTATGAGTATTTTATAAGGTTACCTTTGGCATTTAAACATCTTTTCATATAAAAAAGCTTTTGGAAGGGACTGTTTGGATCTTTCTTTGGTTTTCTAAAGGTACTTATAGCTCTTTTCTAGTCAAGCTGACTACACAAAGCGCTTTACACTACGTGTCATTCACCATTCACACACTGGTTGCACCAGTGGGAACACCAGATGCAACCAGTAGGTAACTTGGGGGTTCAGAGCCTTGCCCAAGGACTCTTCTACATGTGGTCTGGAGGAACATGGAGTTGAACCACTGACCCTCCAGTCAGTGGGCAGCTGCTGTTTCCTCCTGAGCCACAGACGCTTAGTGTCCCCCCTAAGTAAACCCGCTGGTGTTGTTTCTCCCCAGATGAACACCAGCCTGCTGGGCAGCATCGGGATGCTGAACTCGGCCCCTCAGCTCCGCTGCATCAAGACCTACCAGGTCCCCCCGGTCCAGCCGGCCTCGCCCGGCTCCCAGAACCACCTCAAGCTGGCCCGCCTCATCTGGACCTCCAACCGCAACGTCATCCTGATGGCCCACGACGGCAAGGAGCACCGCTTCATGGTCTAAACCCGCCCGCGTCCGGCCGGGCTCCTGTCCTGATCCGGCCCCCGAAGAGCTGCTGGACCTCTGGTGGTTGTGCGATTGTTCATTCACGTTTACTTTTTTTTTTCTTTTTTGCTGTCCGGCGAGTGGCAGAGACTGAGGACCAGACGAGGCGGTTTTCACCGGGAATAGTTCCGGGCGTGTGTCTGAACCTCGTTGAGGTCCAGCCCTGAGCCAGATCCATCTTTTTCTTTTATGTCCAGCAGCGGTCATTGTGAAGAGGGTTGTGTTGTTGTGTATATATATATAAGCCGTGCTTAGGTAATTTGTTTACATTTCGATTTACGTTAATGTATTTTTTAAATCATTTAAACTGCATCATTCCTATTTATTTCCCGGGTTTTGTTGGATGTCGCACATCTCTGAGGTGTTGCCGTGTATTTAAAGTTTACCGCCGTCTGTCGTGATGGTCGTTGCGTAGTTTTTAGTTTATTCTCCGTGATAGTCAGGATTTTGGGCAGTTTTTGGGCAGATGGACTGATTAAAAACCAACTCTTAAGGTCAGGTGGTGCCTGGACCTCTTTAGGACCAGGACACGCTTTTCACATCTCAGACCGCTCAAACGTGCATGTGTGTCTGCATGAGGGGCTACTTTGGTGTTTGCTTTTACTTCAGTGACACCTCGGAAGCTTTTCCATCCTCTCTCTATTATGTGTGTGTGCGTGTGTGTGTGTTGGCACCCAAGTGTATTTTCACTGTTAAACACACATTCTCACTTCAAACTCCTCATCCTAAAAGCACCATCCCGGTAAACCTTTGGATGCTGTTGTTGCTCCAAGGCTTAAAAAAAAAGGTAGAAATAGTTATTTTGGTCACAGTTAACTGGTTGAACTGGATTGGGTGATTAAACTGGGTAAATCTGCATTAACCCCCGCTAATAGAATCTGCTTCAGATCTGCAAAGTGATGTGAACAAGGGACCTCTCACTTTTTAAACCAGTTTAAACCCCTTTAGCTGACCGTGACGTCTTTGAATATTTAGGCGATTTTTGTCAAACTACAAAAAAACAACTTAACTTTAATTTTTCTTTTCTTTTCTTTTTTTTATTTTACTAGTTCTCTCCCGTTCATCCTGCTTTTATAAAGAAAATCTCATAAGTAGTGTACATATTCGGTGTAATTACCATCAGAGCTGCGGTGAAATACGAGGTGAGCTTCAGTCCCGTTCAGTGTGTGTGTTGTGTGTGTGTTGTGTGTGTCGTGTGTGTTGTGGCTCGTTGTGACGTCTGCCTGGCACCAGCGAATTCCTCCGATGACTCCATTTCCATTCCATTTAAGACTTGTGTGACCTGTTTTCTTTTTTTTTATAAAGATTTTCTCTGGTTTTAAAAAGAATGAAAGGGCCTAAAATGTCCGAGTTCAGTGGAGTGTAATTATTATTCCAAAACAATTTAAATAAGATATTCTATGATAATTCTAGAAAAACTAGATAGATAGTATGCTGTAGCTTTGAGGTGAAAGCTGTTATGATTCTTTGTTTGACTGCAGGCAGAACAGGGCAGGAATCAGCCTCGTGTTCACTCATTTCCTGCTCCGATTTCTATCCAAAGAGACTTATTTAGAAGCGTATAAACTCTATATGAATACAACATGTAATACGCGTTTGAAGAGCTTAGTTTTAAGCACCCTTCACTCACCTCGTCCCCCCCCCCCCCCCCCCCCCGTCTGCTGCCAGCTGCATTAGTGCTGTCAGAAAGCTTCTAACACCGTTACACACCTGTAAACCCCAGCGTGTCAAAGCTTTTCACAAGTCCTTCCGCCGCTCAGAGAAGAAGGAAAAAAAAAAGCTGGAAAAAAATCCACCGTCTATTCAGAAGAATTTTTGAAAACATTTGCAGAGGCACACCAAGTCCAGCGCGCCCTGACAGCTCCAGATCTTAATCTTCCCTGTTCCCCGGCACTCTTAACAGTTTGAGGGAATATGTTTTTGGCGGCCTCTCGGGGGAGGAAGGGTGAGAAAAATATGGAGGCAAGGAGAGAGAGTAGAAGAGTAAGTAACGGGTGAGGAGAATCGGATCACCCGAGCAGAAAAAGAAGGTTCTGTGGGGAAGAAAAGGAACCAAAATGTTCCAGAGAAGCTTCTGGAGGAAGCTGCAGATGTTTCTTTTTCTTTAATGACTTGGTTTTAGTTTTTTTCCTTCCATGTTATTATCTTTTTTCCCTCCATTTGTGAAACACAAGGAGAACACGTCTTATTTTTCAATCTGCTTCTTATTTTTGAGCACAAACGCTTACACACTGTAAGTTTCCTGCTCATTTATTATTGGTTTTTAACCGTTTGCAGTAACTTCTATTCGGATATTTAAGTGCGACATATTGCATGTATATGAGCTCCCTTTGATGGAAAACAAAGCCGGCTGAATCTGCTGTACATCCTATAAACCTGTTGTGGTGAAAATGTGTTGCTGTTGATTTTGTGTCCAATAAAGATGTACACGAGGCTTTGTGTCAAATCCCTCAAGTCTCATTTTGCTCGTAAAACTCGTATTAGGTACAGTAAACACAACATTTATGTGCATTTCCTATGAGAACCACCTTCGGAAAACAAATGGTCATACACTGGACCTAGGACATGGCATTATATTCAGTTTTCTTCTCTGGATGTACATTTTTAGAAATTGTAATTTTGAAAAACTACAACTGATGAGGTTTTGCTCTGGGACATTTTCCCCATTGCCCTGAATTGGCTTCTAAATTGCTCTATATCTTATATAAGATGTTAGTGTGACCCCACCCACATCATCATGAGATGGCCCTGCCATGCCCAGGGCGGGGGCCTGCAGCCACACAGGAGTAGCTTTTACTCAGAGAAAGATTTTCAAGAAGAAGTTGAATCTAAACTAGACGTTTGCATCAGAATTGCATTCACCTTTCATTGCTTTGGACATTATTAGAACGGCCTCTGCACCCCCATTTTGTCTGTGCCAAATAAGGAGGGTAATTTCTAAGTAAAAAAAATAAAATAATGTAAATAATTTTCTAATGGTGATATATTTCTTTTTAAGGTAAATTCTCTGTGAATACTTCGGAAACAATTGTGTTTACAGCTTAGCCACAAAACTGAGTAAAGACAATTTAAAACTATTTTAAAAAATATAATTATTTAATATGCTGATAGCAGGTTAAGTTCTCAAATTCTGGTGCTTTCATCCTACAGCACAACTGCAGCTTCTCCCAGTTGAGATATATTTTTCTAAATCTATCAGAGAGGCGATTGTTGAAAAGCTCCAGTTGTGTGTTCCTGAGGGTGTCACTGTGTGTGTGTGTGTGTGAGTGTGTGTGGTTGTTGGTCTCTGTGTGGCCCTGTGATGGACTGGCGACCTGTTGGATGACCTCCCGCACAATGGCAGCTGGAACAGGTCCCCCCCCCCACACGATGCTGCCAGGAATAGATGGTTTAAAAAAAAAAAAAAAGGATGGTCGGATGGACAAAAAAAGATTTTTGACTTGAATCAAAAAGAACACTCCAATTAAAAATGAACACACACGTTCATCCCTCAAAGATGCTTTTTTCTTCCCTTTAACATCACAATCCTATTTTATGAGTGCTCCACTTTCCATCTGTCCGATACTCAAATTAAACCTTGTTTTCATCTCCCTCGTTTCAAAAAAACATGAAGGTTCTTCATAATTTAATGCCGAGAAATTATTAAACTTGTGCGTCTTCGTGTTAAAGTTAACTGTGAGCTCAAGAATTCTCTTTGAAACTTCAAATGGAAATTATAAGTTAAGATAAAAAGATGAAAATGAGATACTGACGGGGACTGATGGTGGTTGGCCGACAGTAACATGCCTCTAAAGAATCCCAGGTTTGTAAAGTTTTGTTGTTTCATTTGTGAGGGAAAGAAAAAATCTCATCAGCATTAAAAGTGTAAAGAAAAGGCCTGTGTGCTTCTAAAGTTGTTGCCTTTAAGTGCTCTGTTAAAGCGGTCATTTTGATGATGTTGTCTTAAATTTCTTTGCAGTCTTAACTCAAAAGCTGAACAGGAATTGTGAAATCTTTTCCTTTTCTGGTGGAAAAAAGTCAAATCATCACAGGGCAGGAGGATCCTGTGTGTCACATCTAAGTCTGTCTTTTTGTATTTGTCACTTTCCTCCCTCTTCATCTTTTCTTTTCTGGGGACTTCTGCCTCCTGATTGGTCTGACCTCTCACCCAGGAGCTGCTTCAGTCACAGCCCCCCCCCCCCACCCCCCGACTTTTTCCACCCTCTTCCTGTGATGCGCAGGCTCTCTTCTCCTCCCTGTCTGGTGTCTTTCTTCCATGCTGTCTTTAATCAGGTTCCATACCGGCTCTGTCGGGTATCGATGGGATTGATCAGGCCGGGTTATCCGCGGCTGCAGCTCAACTTTTTTCTCATCATGTCTCCTCTCGTCTGATTTGAAATTCCTTCGCCCGGTACCCGAGAAACAACCTGCGAACCTTTGAAAAGTCCGATAACTAACCTCAGGAGGAGTTTCGGCTTTGATGCTTTCATACAGGAGGAGAATCAGGAAGTACACAGTCTCCTTTATTTACTCTGTCCAGCGTAAAAACCCCATGTCTCATTATACAAAATAAACCGTATGAGAAATCTGTCATGATAAAAGGATAAAAACGAGAAGAATATAAAACATACTTAGCCAAATACATGCTTGATTTAGAATAATGATTGCATTTGACTATTTGCTTTTCAGTGCATATCAACAGGAAATCATCAGAACTCTCCAGAATCAGAGAGCTTCTTTATGTTTGGAGAAAATTCCACTATTTGTAGCTTTAATAAAGAAAGAAAAAGTTGCTGAGGCAGTCAGAATTAGTAAATTTGGTGACTGAGGTTGGAAAAAACATCTCCTGTAAGATTTGCATTGCAGCTAAAGAAGGTTAGTTTAACTCATCAAAATAAAACCCTCCATTAACAGTTTGTTAAATATCCTTTTTGTGTCATTTTAGGCAACTCAGCATCAATTCCCTCCGCCCCCTCGCT